CTAGCTCATCCACCCCTAGAGCAAGTTTTCCCACAGTGGTTGCAGACTCAATAAGCTGATGAGCTTCCTTCAGTCCAGCAAGGTTCAACTTGAGACGTCTGTTGAGATTTGGTACCACCTTTCCCTCATCTATGTAACGGGCCAAGGCCCCAAAGATTCGCTGATAGTTCTCCACATTGGTACGATGATAGGCTGCCGAGCCTAGCCAGTCCCACGAGAAGGTCATCGACTTTGACATGAAATCGGTCCCATAGAGATCGAACCTGGCTTGCACAATTGAGCAAACTTTGGCGAAGGGTGCACAAACTTTGCCCAGGGCGTGGATATATTGCTCCGTTCTTGCAGCCACGTAAACGTACCTGGGATTAGTAGTGTAAGTTTTTGAGATGTAAAGAACACGACAGCAAGAGAAGGCGGAACGTACCTGATTGGGACATCCAGGTTCAAGGCTTTGATTTGGGACTCGATATCCACCTTATGATTCACAACATGGGTGGCACCCATTTTCCTGCATGACTCCATGGTCTCAGGTCGGGATGCAGTTGCAATAACCACGGGAAGTTTCAAAACTTTGCTGGCGATTTGGATGGCAGCGCTTCCAACTCCACCTCCGCCATTGATCTAGAACGGTCAGAGTCAGATGTGTGTTCGAAATGCAACGAAGGTAGCAATAGCCATTATAACATTGGCTCGGGGCATTAGTGAAACTCGCAATCAAAATACCAACGCTTTCGTTCTGCTTAATCTCCAGCCTGTCAACAAGAGACTGGTATGCCGTACCGAAGGTCAGGCCCATACTAGCGGCTTCCACGAAGTCAAGCGACTTCGGCTTCTCAGCACAGTGACGTTCATCAACGAGAAGATACTCTGCAGCACTGCCTTGGCGAGTAGTGGAAGCAACGTAAAAAATATCATCGCCAGGCTTGATATTTGTGCACTGAGGCCCAACCTCCAAAACGGTTCCGGCACCGTCAAATCCAATGATATGGAAATCCTTGGGCACAAACTTGTAGTAGTCTTTATTCGATAAGCACGAAAGTCCAAAAGAAGGGAGCAGGATCATTACCTGGAGCATCATCATAAGTCCCTTTGCGAACTTTCGTGTCGATAGGATTCACAGAACAGGCCTTGACTCTAAGTGACGTTAGAAATAATGTGACGGTACATGGAATGAGAATACTCACTGCACAAGGACGTCCATTCCTTTGGGGCTCCCCGGTCGCGGAACGTCGCGGGACTCGAAGTTGTCGACTGAGCCATACTTGGCAACTCCAATTGCTTTCATTGTTTTGGTTTCCATCGTGACAAAGGTTAGACTTTTTCTCACGAGGAATCTAGGAAGGGAGTTTTACACCTATTATATCTTTCAGAAAACTAGAATCTGTGATTTCAAACCGAGGCTTGCGAAATATGATTAGATTATTCTGCAGCATTTATGATTATTCTTCAGTTTTCGGGCGGTGATCACCGAACGCCGACCTCGGCACCCTGAAACATCGGGCCGCCACTTTGATGACAATTACACTTCTATCCTTCCAAGGTTGTGATCAAGTCCAAAACCATGGAATAAAACTTGACCCCGGCTTTTGGCATGCTCTCACTACCAGACGATCTCGATCAAAATTAGACATGGAACATGATAGGATGACCTGAGCGTTGTGTTATGGGAAAGCTGATCCGAAAATACGCTGCATACGTTGTGAAACTGACAATGGGGTTGTGTAGTCATGATGAACGGGGCTAGATCCATTCCTCTTTCCCCCTGATGATCAAAATATCCACATCGACCGAGGCTGCGCTGATCCTACCCGTTTGCTTGCTGTCTCCCACGAACTCCCGTAAATTATACAGGACAGGGCCAAACAACACTATTTTTTGGGGAGCTCCCTTGGGTCTTGGCTCTGGTCTCTGAGATCTAGAACTTAAATCTGAGCCTGGAAGGAAGCGGGGATCAGCTAACAACAATATTTTATACAGCCCTTCACCCACTGCTCTAAGCGATACATGGTATTATCAAAAGAATTCAGTCTACGACAGCCCTGGGTCTTCTATGAATCTTCTCATTGAATCTTCGAAATCATGGCGGACCAGGCTATATCCACCTACACACCACTTGATGTACCTCTGCCCCCTGCTCCTGCAACCTCATACTTCACGGCGCAGCAGTGGAAAGCCCTTTACGCTTTAGCCGATGCAATTATCCCATCTATTCGCACCGCTTCAACATCCAGAGGATCCAACGATACAGTCGTCTCTCAAGATCAATGGAATACAGCCATATCAAAACTAACGGCTACCAGCCCCAGCCCTGAGGCGGTCAAAATCGCAGCTCAATATCTAGAAGAAGATGCTTCATCAAATCTAGCATTCCGAGCCTGCATTGAGCGCATCTTCGGCGACTTCATGCATGACGAAGGACGGAGTAGCTTTGGACTGATGCTGAATGCCCTGAAGTATTTTTCCTTTCCTAAGTAATCTCATTGATAACCTACTGACGTTTGATCATGTAGTACCCGTGCTGGATTGTTGATTATGACCGGTTCAACCACACCTATCCATCAACATTCCGTCACTGTCCGTGAAAGGATCATCAGTGCGTGGGATACATCGCGTCTAGCCAGTTTCCGAGCTACATACCGGGTCTTGATTGCTATCGTCAAAAGGTCGTGGGTTCTTTCCAGCCCGACAATCAACGCTGTGCTTGGCTTCCCCCGCGTCCCTATCCATGGCAAGCCTGCCATGGGATTCCGGCATGAATTCCTACAACTCCCTCCAAGCAATGAGCCAGGCAATCCACCAGAAACAATTACAACCGACGTTATCGTCATTGGTAGCGGCTGCGGTGGGGCCATGGCAGCGAAGAACTTGGCTGAAGCTGGATATCGGGTGCTTGTAGTAGAGAAGTCATATTCCTACACCAGCGATACCTTTCCAATGGGCCCAAACGAAGGATTCGTAAATATGTTCGAGGGCGGTGGTGCCGTTTTATCCAATGATGGGTCCGTTGCTATCCTAGCAGGCTCAACGTGGGGCGGCGGCGGCACTGTCAACTGGTCAGCAGCACTACAAACGCAGGCATATGTCCGGCAAGAGTGGGCTGATAATGGCTTACCATTTTTCACATCTCTCCGGTTTCAGAGAAGCCTTGATCGTGTCTGCGATCGCATTGGCGTTACAGAGCATGTGTGCCACAATCGCCAGAATAACGCTATTCTCGATGGCGCACGCAGACTAGGCTATGCTGCGAAGCCGGTTCCACAGAACACGGGTGGCGAAGAGCACTACTGTGGCTACTGTATGCTAGGCTGTAACTCGGCAGCAAAGAAGGGACCAGCTGAAACGTGCCTCGTGGACGCTGCGAATGCTGGGGCGATCTTTATGGAAGGCTTTCGAGCTGATAGGGTGCTTTTCACTGAGACTAATGATGAACGAGTGGCATCAGGCGTTGAAGGAACATGGACTTCTCGAGACTCATATCTCGGACTTAGCGGAGAGGGTGCTATTCGACGCAAGGTAATCATTCATGCCAAAAAGGTGGTCGTGGCGAGCGGCGCGTTGCAGAGCCCGCTGCTACTTCTACGAAGCGGCCTTGACAACCCACAAATTGGCCGAAACCTTCATCTACATCCTGGTAAGTTTCCTTCGCTGGGCTTGATCTAGTTACTGACCTAGCTTCACAGTCCTGGCATGTGGTGCAGTTTATGAGGAAGAGACTCGGCCATGGGAGGGAGCCGCGTTAACCACAGTGGTGAATGAGTTCGAGAATCTCGATGGTCGTGGACACGGCGTGAAGATCGAAACGTCGGCAATGGTCCCTTCTCTGATCATCCCTGTTTTTCCTTGGCGGGGTGGGCTGGACTATAAGTTGTTCGCGGCCAGCATCAACCATAGCACTAGCTTCATCACGCTCGCTAGAGATCGCGATAGTGGGCGCCTCTACCCAGACCCGACCGATGGACGTGTACGTGCCGAGTACACCGTCTCTTCTTTTGACCTGAGGCACATCGTGGAAGGTGTCATCGCCTGCGCCAAAATTGCGTATATCACCGGTGCAAAAGAGTTCCACACGGCTTCTCGTGAAATTCCACCATTCATTCGGCCAGCCTTCAACCCGAAAGGCACCTCGGATTCTCAGCTGGAGGAACAAGACCTTCAAGGCATCAACAATCCTGCGCTCCAAAGCTGGATTGCTGAGGTCAGACGTAAGTCACTTCAAAGCCAGCAGGCTTCATTCGTCAGTGCTCACCAGATGGGCACATGCCGTATGGGCAGCTCTGCTAAGTCGAGCGTGGTAGATCCTACCTGTCAGGTCTGGGGAACTGAAGGTCTCCATGTTATGGATGCTTCTGTGTTTCCTAGCGCTAGCGGTGCGAACCCTATGGTTACTGTTATGGCTATTGCGGACTGGGCTAGTCAGGAGATGGCATGGAATTTGAAAAAGTCAGAGAATGTGATGGCTCGGCTGTAGTTTCCAAATCTGGACTCCTGAACCACACCCAATCTCTCCCCAGCAGTGGTCGATGTCCTTATTATAATCCTGGACATAGCCGATGGGGACACAAATCAAATTGCTACCGTTGCTGATGCTGTAATTTCATTTCTCTCTCTCTGAACATAGACGAAAAGGTTTCAGTAGATGTTTAAGAAGCATACTGAGTTATCACGGTAGTTTGAACTGTTTGGAAAATTAGCTACAGTCTAGGGCGAGCCGTGGTTAAAGCTTCAATGTACACGAGTAAATCTCTTGGGGTGACAGGCTGCTGCGATTCGACTCAAGTCCTCCAGTACTACATTGGTCTGCGAAATAATAGCTGCGCTAAAAGGCGTAGGACTCATTTTGCGTGGCTAGTGTCTATGAGGGTTGTGGTTAAGTATATTTAACTAGCGGCTGTAAGATGCTGAGAAGTTGCTCAATGTGCATAGATATATATATACCGTAGAGCACCCAGTCCGCTTCTTTTGACATCGAGGGCTTCTTGTCGACCCGACAACCATCGCCCTCATCCGATAGCATGAGCCATCCGTGCATGGTTTTTTCGGAATGAGGATTTTGGTTGAGCTAAAAGGCATAGAACGCCAGGGAAATATGGCAAGAGCTTGTACGTATCCCAAGAAAACCAAGCCTCTTGAAATTGCAAGCCCTCCGGAGCCTCGTTGGATGTGCTGGGCCCGATCCGGCTGATCACACAAAGGGAAACATCGACTGTTGGCGACGTGCCATCGTTACCAGGAGCCCATATACGCTGCATAGCCTGAGCGATGAAATGTATACTGCCGTCATCATTTCGAAACTCCCAGATGCTCAGAAGATCAAATTCCAAGCGCTCGAACTGGTCAAATACCAGCGTGATCCATGGCCAAATTTCCCCGCCTTGGTAATCAACGCCGTTCTGATTGTGAAAAGTTGCGCGATCGGAGAAGAACTTGTGGTTATCATAACTTGACAGGGCGGAAGACTCGATGGCGTGTGTGAATGCTTGGTAGAACCGCTGGGCTGGAGTTTGCGGCCCATTCGAGGCCCATTCAGAACCGGTAAGGCAGGAGGTGAGCTGCATAGCAAGTGTCAACGGACCACAGAATTTCCAGGTGTTGAGAGTCCTCCCAAAGCGCACAGCGCAATAGAACTGTTGGTAAAGCGCCTGATATGATGTAACACGAACGTCGGTACTCCAAGGCTGAGTGGTGGTTTGCAATGGCGCCGAAATATTTTCTAACTATTGGACTGTAATGCGGCCTTTCCATTCAGGGCTCAATTATCCAAGGATTAACTACCTAACTAGCTGTGTTTCCTCATCTCGAATTCATGTTTATTCATCATTCAATCTTGGGCCTCGGCAACATTGTGTTTACTCATATAAACAGATCCTCCCGCTGATATAATGTTCAGGTAATTTACGATACATGCCCAAAACAAATGAGGCTGATACAGGTTCTCCGAGAGTAGTTTAGTGTATTAAGCAATAAGTAGAAATAGAGAATTTCTGGTTTTTTACAAACACAGTCACTTACACAATTAAGCTACATAACATATGCTTATGTTTGTATGACACATACGAGTATATTGATGGAACCTTGCGGAGAGATGCGAGCAATTCAAACAACTTGAACAGCAGAGTCCTCTCAGTCTCTCCAAGTCAGTTCTAGACCTGACACGAGAGAAGAACCGATCGCTTGAGAAGCGTGAAATATTCATGCTTTCAGCTCAAGGCTCAAAAGTTGTCAGATCCATATGTATCGCCGCGAAATGCTATTCGCTTTCGGAGGCGTGACATTATCTGGGTTTGGTTCGATGCTATCTTGCTTCATACAATGTTGGCAGTGCACTTGGAAAGTGTGTTTCGGGGTCTATCTGGACGCAGACACTGTACAAAACTCTGTTGTCTAATCTCGCCTTCCAGCCTGATACAACGTTGGCAGCAGCCGTTTACGGCTCTCCATTCGAGGTGGTCCTTCGGTATCCTATCGGGACGCCAGAAAGAAGTGCTATCATTATGGGTTATCGCCATGTCCAAAAGATTCTCTGTATCACAGGGATTTGCCTTGCTGCTCCAATGATTGCTCTTGCATTTGCCTTGCGGAACCCGAAGCTATCGACGAAGCAGAGCCAGTAAGAAGCCGAGATTTCAGTCTCGGAACCAGCTCATACAAGGACTACCGGATTGTGAGACGGCGCGATTGGCTGGACCTGCCGTCACGCCGGGGTTTGACCAACAAAGCTTTACTCCTGGGATTCTCGAATCTCTTGGTCGGCTAGGTTCATTTTAAAAAGTGATTTTTTCCAAAGGAATACACGGCATAGCAATAGTCCAAAGTTCTGCTAGCGGGATCCGGCACGAAGGGACGATTCCTCAATTCTCGGATGAGAAGCCGATCTCTCCAGGATTGGGACAGGTTGCTCCTAGGATCTGGGATTGAGATCCTCGGAGCTTCAATGCTTATTATTGGCACTGGAATGCAAGCGGTAGCCTATCGAGGGCACGAAGATTGAATACCGCTAATTACGACGATATAAATTCTTATGGTTAGTCCTTGCCACCGGGATGTGGTATAAATATAGCTGCGGCCTGCTCTTTTCTCACCGTTTATCCTCAACCACTCCTCTCACTTCGCCTTCAAATATTTCCGCATCTCAAATAGCCACACAAAATCTCTCAATGGTAAGGTACATCACATAGAATCGGGATCGTGGGATTACAGCACTAACTTTTCACTCAGTCTAGCATCGAGGAATTACGCAATCGCTTTTCGGAAGCCCTCTCTCAAGAGAATGTCGAGGGCTTTTTGGATGTTTTGAAATATATGGATGTACAGGTCGATAGGTCGGAAGCTCAGGGTCGAACACTGCTATGGTACTATGTGAAGATGCGTGACTATAAGAAAGTCGAGTTCCTTATTAAGTGTGGCGCGAACCCTACTGTGGCAGACTCTAAAGGGCTAGCACCCATTCATGTTGCTTTCATGCAGGGTGAAGTCATCGACAGAATCATAGCACAGATGTTACTGCATTCGCGACCGACTGTTCCTGTATCCGAGTTGCTTCAGAACGGCCCGAGTCTTGATAAACTTTTTTCAAACCACGCCAATACTCCTGACAGCGCCAATGCCATGAGGTTTCTTCTGAAGTTGGGTGCAGATGTCAATACTATTCTTAACTCGGACGACGAAACACCGTTGATGCAAGCAGTGCGCTACGGTGACCTCAAAGTCATCAAAGTACTGCTAAAGCACAGGAACATCAATCTCTACGCGGAAAATCGGTATGGGTACACGGCATTGCATGTTGCTACTTGTCACGGTCAGCTAGGTGCAGTCAATTTGCTCCTATCCAGTGAACGCCTTGACGTGAATTGCAGGGACCGCCTAGGCAACTCTGCCTTCTGGCTATCTGTACACCTTAGGCATGACGATATCAGCAAGCGGTTTCTCAATGACAGCAGATTAGATGTCAATTTCAGGGGTGGCACCAATCCGCAACAGCAAACTACAGCCCTCTATATGGCCTGTTTTTGGACGAATGTCCGGATGGTCTCCTGTATCCTTTCGTCGACAAATTTACACAAAGTGAATCCAAACATTCAAGGAGAAAACAGAAAAAGTCCTCTTGGAATTGCTGCGTACCAAGGTGCCTATGAGGTAGTGAAAATGCTGCTCAAGGTAGACGGTATTCAGATCAACGCAAATGACGAAAAAGAAGACGATCCTCTGTGGCTGGCAATTCAAACGCGTTCAATGTCGGTAGTTGAACTTTTCTTGAACGACAGCCGACTTGACATTAATTGCCAGAACAACCAAAAGGGAGATACTTATCTCATTGCGGCAGCTCGAGATAACCATTTTCCCCTTGTGAAGAGGCTACTCGAAATTAAGGGCATTGAGCCTAAGAGAAGGAACAAGGAGGCTCAAAGTGCGCTAGAGATCGCCCATGAACTAGATCACCCCCACATCGTTCAAATGATGGCCGGTAGAGGAAGTGCGTGCTGATAGACCTCTCAATGAATGGAACTTGAGCAAATTTGGACCTGGGCTTTCAGTAAAAGTCAGTACTGGAGTAATCATAAATGATCAAGCACCCTTCAAATGGCCTATAGAGCCATTTAATCAATACCGTCTTGTCTTTCATCCCATCGATCTAGCCTTTTTCCCTCGACGAGAAAGGCAATATTGGTCGTTACTGTGTAAATACCTATCGTCTCGTCCAGTTTTCAGTTAGCATCATAGTAACCCGTATCCACAGGCCTCTTGAAAGTGTCAAAATCATGCGTGTACAAGTACAGAAAGAGATGACAATGGTCTGACAGGGGAAGTCATCCACTGAGTTCTGACCTGATTGAAACAACTTCCACGCTCAATCAGGATGACTCAGGACATCCTCGACCTTGCAATTCAAATGGCAAGCCCTCGAGGTGCCTCCAGCGACAAATTCTCTCACGCACACCATGCTCCTGGGGCGAAAGAGCTGCCTCCCAGGTGCTAAAAAAAACATAGAAAGGACCTATGCAAACTTCTGTCTCCTGGGTACAAGAGTTCCTAGGAGATACGTAGTGGCTCCTAGGGCTTAGTGGCAACGCTCCTAGGATCCTTCGCTGCAGTCCTAGGAGCATTTTACAGCGCTCCCAGGACATATTTGTCCCCAGGAACTAATGCGAAAGGTCCTAGGAACGGTGGTGAAAGGCCCTAGGAGCTTCGACTATTCCTCCTGGGAGAGCACAACCTACCGCAGAAATCGCACTAGGGGCTGTGGGTCCACGTGGATCTCTGTCAAAGCTATACTGTCCGTCTTTGCGTCATCTCAGCAAATCTGGAAAGGGGACAAAGCGTGCGTGGGCACCCAGGAGACATAGAATCTGGATGAATCATCCCGATGTATTTTTGCTCCTGGGAGGTATCTCCTTCGCCCCAGCATTATGATGCCGCCAGGTACTCCAAGAGGCCGCACAAAGGATTTTGGAGATTACATGGGCTCTCTTAGATATTCAAAGTCAAACTGGTAATGTCCTAGGAGCAAATTTTCGAAGCTTTGTTAATAACTTTCAAGATCATGAAGAGAAGCTATAAAAACCAAGAAACGACCGATATTTCCGTAACGTCTGATCCTTGGATACTAAACGGTTCAACGACTCGGCTGCTACATATTTCGAAGACAACTTGAAGGTATTCACCCCTCATGCCACTGGTACATGGCCAATGCTTATTAACTTCATGATAGCTATCATGGCTTATTATAACGAGGAAAATATAGTGACGACGCGGACACGATCCAGATGGACTCATTCGAATTCCAGAATGCCGTGGACAATTTCGATCCTCCGGCTATTCCAGATAGTGTGAGGCTTTCTGAATCTACGACTCCATCAACGTTTATCAGATATGCCGCATGTCGAGATTTTGATATAACTCGCCTTTGTCAAGATCGAGAGTCGAACGCACAAAGCGAAAATGGTTTCGACAGTAATCCAGTTATTGTCGAATCCGATACCCTCACTTACGAAGCTTTCGAATCTCTCCAAGCTTCGCATAAGATGCGATACTTCGATAAATTGACAGCCGCTTCAACTAGTTGGGCAGTTTTTGAAAAATCGTGTCCCCGGCTTGACAAGTTCGTGTTTCAGCATTATGACAACAATAACTATCTCTCTCGTGATGAATTCGGTCTCTCTCTACAGCATAATATCAAACAGAGATGGACTTTGAGAGAGGCTCCATTACCTGATTCGGCATCGAGACATGAAAATGGGAGAATGGGGAGCCTAGTTAGCTGGTACGATGACGACCTACGATGGAATTCTGCCAACATACGATATGAACTGAAGCCTTATCGTTTCCCCCGGATTCATTATCCGATAGAAAAGGTGATTTCCGAATTCCGGCTCCGTGGATTTTTTCGTCATATATCCTCTTCCCTCCTTTTGTACCGCCTCACTATCCTCACGGCGGAGCTTGGGGAGACCACAGAGAGTCAGACTGGATGCCCTTGGGAAAGTACCGATGGGTACAAGAGCTTTTGGGATATACCCCTTCGCCATATAGACAGTGTTAGCACCCTCAGGTTTTATGACTATAAGGGTCAAGCTAGGGCGTGCTTCTATGGCTCGGAGGAGGCTCAGAATGATGCTGTGGAATTGATCAATCTTTTGACCAGTTTCAGTTTCCCTCATACCTACGATGGAATTATGGCTAGAACGGTGGCTTGAACGCTGAACTCGCTCAACCCTGCAATTTTGTCATCGTTGGCGTATCTGACAGACTCATATTCAAATGTTCTTAGAATTTAGCGTAACAATGAATAATTGAAAGATAAAAATTCAATTACTTTGAAAATCGTTTAACCTTGATGGACAGGTACAGTATCATTAAAATGTACCAAGGGTCAGAAGCTATCGAAAGAGTCACCGTAGTCATCTGCTCGCAGTAGACAAAGGCAATGCTGAAAGGTGGTAATCCTTGATGTCTTTCAACAAGTGGTGGCAACGAATGTGGTAGCTTCGAGTGAATGCCTGGGGCTGATTCTGCGACTCCTCAATATTTTGTTCAGCGGTAAAAGCTTTGCGGGAAAAAACTATCACCAGGGAGGGCATTGCCCCGCATTTAGGAAAACTATCGCCAGTTTCATCACCGACTCCGCTCTGCCAAACCCTTTTTCCAACACCTCATCTTTCACCACCCTTCCTTTTCACCGCCCTCTCTTTTCACCGCTCTCTCTTTTTCACCACCCTTCCTTTTCACCGCCCTCTCTTTTCACCGCCTCTGTTTCCACCGCCATCTCTTTCACCACCCTCTCTTTTCACCACTCCTCTATCACAGAGCCATCCGTGGAAATTATTAGTTAAAGTAGTCGGACAGACTAGTTTTTAGCTAGCCATTGAGGAACTTGAATTCTTCCTAGAAAAATTTGAAAGAATAGATTCGTGAAGCATTGAAAAATTTGGTTACTGAAAGCCGTTGAAAAATCTATAACAAGATCTCTCATTTCTAATGAACTCCAAGATTTGAGGACAGGGTGATTGAAATGCAGACTAGGGTGCTCTCGGTCTCTAGTACACACTAGGTACAGTACAGTCGAAAACTTCTTGAGGCACCAGAGTTCGGCTAGGCCGGAGAGCGGAGGTAGCATTCCTGTTGTAATTCAAAGGAAGATTGCTTGTATTCCTTCTGGACAGAAAACTTGAGGGTTTATATACACAGGCGACCTCCAGATTGATTTCCAATCAAAGCTGGTAATTCCGTGGGGTTAGGAATTGATTCCGTTACGATACGACATATCACAACAATTCCAAAGCGGAGCAAGGAGTAACGAGGGGCAGCCAGACAAGGGCCACAGGGTAGGGCCAACGAACCACCCGCCCCTCTTTCTTCGGCAACATGGTCCTAGATCTCGTGAACTTTCAATATAGATTGGTTTCCGCTAGACAGTCTTGCTTGTGTCGGATGTTGTTCAATCCAACTATCGCTAGCAGTTCTAACGCAGGTCTCTTCAAGCCATTAACCACCAATGTAAATAAGGGGAAGTCACAACATTCCTAACTTGATGCCAAGGAAATGTCTGTGACAAAGCATATTTGAACGCCTCACTATTTAACGAAGCAGCAGATTTCCTGCCATCCTTGTAGCAGAGCCCAATGGAAATGATTCCCCACCCTACACTACGTGTTCGCGGGTCCTTTTGAATATGACGTGTCCGATTCACAACGTGCGTCTGCATCTTCCTTGCTGACGGTATGTTTCTCCCGTAGTGGAAGTATAAAACGGCTCATGTCATGGCGAGATGAAAGATCCCAGCTAGTTCTTAATATGTTTTTCTATCAGCCGCTATGATCATGATGAACCTGAAGCAATGACCGGCAAACCGCATATTGCTGCAATCGCGATCGTAGAGCATCAAGGCTGAAAACACACTATTTAAATTTGTTACTTAATTTAGTAGATTCTATTATTTAAATGAATTACCAGAAAAGTGCTTTATTCAGTAGCTCAGTAAGCGTAAGCGTGTTACGTTATATATGATTCAGTACCTGGGTCTTCGTAGAGACGATTCTGGAAAGAGCCGCTGCCACAGCGTGGACATCGTTGCGTGCACGAACGCACGCTCAAACTCGTTCAAGTCGAGCTTGAGGACTTCAAGACAGCTTCCTTGAGCATCGTCGTCGCCCTCCTCGACCTCACGAGCCACATGACCAATATAAAGCGCCACCAATTCGGTGACAGAGGAAGGCTCGCCATCCTGCGCCAATTCCTCTGAAGGCTCAGGTACCTAAGCAGTGAAGAGGCATGAGAATGAAGCGAAGTAGGAACGAGGAAAGAGAATTCGAGGGGCCCATATGAGACGATGAGAGGCCGGAGGGATTGAGAAAAAAGAGGCGTATTGATGCCGGTCTGAGGACCGTCATTAGGATCACGGTATCCAATCTGGTCGCGGCGTGGTGTAGAAATGTAGACGGCGCCTCGGATCTCCCGCGGCCTCCAACAAAATTAACGTTGATGTCTTTCTCGACCAACAGCCTTTCGGTTATCCCGTCGCACGACAAGTAGACAGCTAGAGTGGCGTATTATCATCTTTGTCTTTGCAGTTCACGTTGGCTCGGGGATGACTTAGGATCAGATTGACCATTTCTAGGGGTTTGCTTTGAATGGCGAGATGGAGCGGCGTATAGCATTTCCGGTTCTGGGTGTCCAAGTTTAGACCTTTTTGTCCGAGAAGCCGTTTGACAGCATCTACTGACCCATAGGATACTACTTGGCGAAGAGGTAGCTCAGCATCCTGTGATGATTGAGCACTAAGAATTACCTCGAAGTACCTCGGACTTCGGATCGTTTAATCATTTCTATCACGGGCCTATTGAAGCGAAATGCAGAGGCCCATGGCGAGTGGCATGAATCATCCTGTAGATCAGGGTCGCTGCCACTAGAAAGTAGCAGATGCACGCACCCTATTCTACCTGCGAAGACTGCTAGGTGGAGCGCCGTTCGGCCATGTTTGCGCTTGACATCTACTCTGACGTTGGGTTATTATAGAACGCTCTTGACGGCGGAAAAGGTTCCGTAGTAGATGGCATACGACAGGGCGCTCCGCCGCGCTTGATTTTGAAGGTTGATGTCTAGGTCTCGACGATTAAGCAAGAGGTCACGCACAGCAGCGGAAGAGTATTTTAGCGCCCTCAATAAAGGATATTTGCCTCGGTAAAATGCATTGATGTTGGCGTTGTGCTGGAGCAAAGCCTCCGCGAGACTAACGTTGTCGTATTTCACGGCTAGGTGCAACAGATTGCTGTTCTGAAATTTGCTGTTGTATTTCCGGATGCTGGACTGCAGTCTCAAATCAAGGCCTTTGCATGACTTTGCGAGAGCAGATATCGCACTGCCGTCCAAATGCGACAAAATCCACAGCAAAAGCTCATTGGGCAGGTCTCTGATGTTTGGCTGTAATGTATTAGCTCATCGGTAAAATCAGTACGAACGAATTGAAGCAGACCATGATTGGACAGCAGATTGGAGCGAGGAAGCAAACTAAATGTAGATGAGGGTAGGTGTGAAAGTTGGACGTGGGGAGGCCTTTTATATCTCGTCTCAGCTAAATTCTGCGGTCAGCTAGGAGTGTAACCCGTCACTCCGTTGAGGCGTGTAGCAATCATACGGCAGAATCGAAGCCTTGACAACAATTCGTAGTTTTAGAGAATCTCTGAAGTCTAGCTCCAGTGAGCGCCAAAACTATCCCTGGTAGTGTGTTAATGGCCCTGGGAGACCGAGTCTATCTTTCGTACCCACTTCTTGCATCTAGCGCCATAAGCGTTGAAGCAAATCACATCTAACACGCACTTCGAAATTCCATAGGAAACCCAGAATTTAACCCAGCATTTGTTGACTATGCTGCCTACGGCAGTAGCCAATCTGTTCGCCAATATATGGTCGCTGCGGTCTACAGCCACAGGGCAGTTGGTTCGGGCAGCAGTGATCTGGAATGATATCCCTTCTCGAAGGCCACGGCTTGGCCGTATAGTGGCGCATACTGCGTGTGAATGCATTTTTCGACGCACTGACTGTTTCAAGGAAACTTTCCATGCGAGCAGACGAGCAGCCATGTAGGTAAAGAGCCAACGGCGATGGCATATAAACCGGCAGACTATTAGGCTTTTGACTAAGGAAATAAATTGCGAGAAGTTGACATTCGTCAGCATTGGCTACAGCAGGTGCAACGGGGGGCCATTCCTATTAAATAGGTTATTAGGCATTTCTTCAAGAGAATTCCGTAGAGGGTATTCGTTCCGCAAGAGAAACCTGTTTGAACAGTGTCAGTTCAACGTTATTCGCACCTGTCTCAGCGCGAGATGTATAATTGGCACGGGCGGCGACGGAACGTAGCCTGAGAGGTGCTGTACATCCTCACTGCTTCGCGAACAGAGTCTTCTTTACTCCCTAATAAGTTTGGCTTCCTACTTACGCTAGCTTGGCGCACGACAAATGACCGGGTTTTGGACGTATCCAGCAGGTAATGAAGGTGAAATTTCGTTTCATTTACTTCTACCTCAAGTTGACTGTGAGATATAATCATTGAAAAACTCCCCACCGTCAGTATAACCATGGATGACAAAATGTAACGACTCATTGGGCAGAAAGAATCCGTTTTCCTCGGAAGAATCTTCATGGACAAGGTGCATGGCAAAGACTTTGCGTCCACGGGCATTTTCGATTTTCAGCATTTCTAATACCAAATCAAACAGCAGCAAAGCCCCTGCAGTATCTTCCATGGCAGGCCGAGCCATCCTGAGGCCAGGGACGAGATTTTGAGTGATGTAGGTCAAGATATCAGCGTTGGGCCAGCGGAGACAGAGCAACTCCACAATCCATCCTATGTTCATGTTATACGTCTCCTCGTATAAGTATCGTGATGGGTCCCAGCCTTTCGCAATACCGAGGATCACTTTAGCCCACCGAGTTAACGGCAAAGTAATTTCTCCAGGCTCCGCGAGAAGCAAATGCCTAAGTGTTTGGCGGTCACAATAGACCTGCACCAAGGCATACATCGCGCAGGCAATTGCGTCTTCACGGCTATCGAATGTGATAGGCAGAATGGCATCTTCTGCGTAGTTGAGGTCGGTTCGCTGGAATATTGGATGGCCCGTACATCGAAGGAACGCATTATATAGCGAATCCGACTGAGAGAAGAGGAAATCGACATATTGCCTAAGATCGTCTAGCTTCCGGTAAACCTCAGACTCGCTGTCATTGCATCCCGAAAGACAACCTTCTCCACCTCCACGTGTTGAAAGCTTCAGGAGAGATAAATCCAAATCATCGCAGCGGGACTGTGAGCATCTCTGAAGAAGGAGAATGGTTGACACACGGATGGTATCTGCCATCGTGAGAAAGAGGAGTTCTTGTGGTGCGCAGATCCGGCGCGCAAGAAGATCGAGCTCTCGGTCAGCAACTTGGCTGCGATGTGTTGCATGCGACGGCCCTAAAATGAGAAACCCTTTTGCACGGATGAAAATACTCGCACGCAATACCAATCGGCCGTAAGGTGTTCCAGATAAAGCACGGTAGTGCCCAAGGATGAGAGTCTCTAGCCCTCGTAAATGGCAGTAAAAGGTCCTGACGGTCCCAACTACATTTTCGAAGAGTATGAAGAAAATCACCGCAGCAAGGACATCCTCGATCCGGCAGGTGTCTTGCTTAACCAATTGAATCGCACGACTGAAGTAGTTCAGCGATTGAACAAAAAGTGGTGGCAAGTTCTTTGACCGTGGCTGGTACGGATTCCCAAGGGAGTAGGCAAATCGAGCGGCAGAGAAGGCAACCGTAGCTTCTCTAAGAGCGGGCAAATCTAACCCGCTTGACACAACTAGTCGTACGCTTTTAGGTAGAAAGTTAATGATATGGGAAAAATATTGGTGAAGAAAAATTCCGTCGGAAACAGCGATTGCGGGCTTATGAGGAATATTCAAATTCGTAGAAGTGGGGGCTTTAATATTGTCCGCCTGGGAGAAGCTCGCCAAAATCTGAAGTTGGCGGCCCCTGGTGGAAGTTGGATTCGGGAGTACGTCGTCTTCGTTGATAGTGCCGTGCTGGGTACGTCGATGATTATACAACTTAGCGCGAGGTACCTCACTGTAGTCAAGATTCCGAGTATCAACTTCTGCTGCCCGCCCCAAATTGAAAGACGACTCTTGAAATCGAAGTGGAGGACTGCGAAAAGAGCAATGGATTCCTAGGCGCGAACAGAGCCCACAGCTAGGCCTGTTCTCGTCACACTAATGTCGACGAAGTGTCATATCAGTAACTACTCGAACCGTCTGCGGGGTAGGCTTAACTTTTCGTTTTTTCTGTCTGCACGGAATGCATCCATTTCGGCTGCGGGTTATATTGGTCTTCCTGTACCGAGGAGGTACAGGTTCGTACATGGCTGGCGGCAGAAAGGAAAGTGGTGCCTAGTGGTACTGTGAGATGTAGTTTCAGTAATAATCGAGTAGCCACTTCCGGCCCTTGAAGGTGGTGTCTGAGGGTGCCTGTCGTGATGAAGAGAGGTAGTGGAAACCGGCGGGCACTCAAGCTCAGCAGGTGCCAAAACTTCTGACTAATCTTGGCACACTCAGGTGCCGAAGCTTATTACCAAGGTGCCAGAATTCTATAACGTAATCCACAAGCGAGTGAAACACCCAACCAGAAATCGTGTATTCCTTCCTACCTACCTTCTTCAGCTACCAACCATGCCAACAAATCGCTCGCGATCCTCACAGGATTAGATACAGCAAGAGGGCAGAATCCCACTAGCCCTCCAGGATGTCAAAAATGGCCGACTCAAATCGATTCGCGCAGCTGCTAGGCTAATGTGGTGGGCGTAGAGAGACTGGACACAAGATCAATTCATGTAAAAATCGCTACATTTAAATTAATTAACGTGTTTTGGTTGAACGGCCGATATTTTAAAAATTTGGTATTGGTAGGGTGTTTCACCCGCTTGGGTGTTTCACTCGCGGGAATTGTTACGGACACTACAGGATTTACTAGCGGCACTACAAATTATGTACTACCCGCATCACATAACGTATTTCACTAGGGAGCTGCGCACACAGGCGAGCTGCGCAGCCCAGAACACGTAGTAAAGCGATAAATTACAACATGATATTTCAGTATAGCGTTGATCCTGTAGAGCATTATTAATTCGTTCAAAAACACAGAGTATATCACCCCTACATACTGTTTATAGCAGCATGAGAGCCTTCTACTCGTGATGTTGCCCAATTACCAAGATGAAGGTATTGCCCTATCCTAGCCCGAGTAAACAACTCTTTATTAGTTAGACGGGTCTCTTTAACACATCGAAGAGCAGGAGAAGCAGTTTGACTAATCTCAAACTCAGCTAATTGATCTTTATATTCACCTATAGAAGATGAATAATAAGATCTCCCCAGGAGTGTATAAACGTTTCAAATTGCTCGTTCGAACAGAAGTTTTGTCTTTACAACCACACATTCTTATCAATATGCCAAACACATAGTAAATGTGGACTGGTTGGACAGATAGTCTAATTGCTCCTACTAAGCAAGATCTCTGTCAGTGCAAAGAACTGGGAAAGGGATAAAGGGTTAAGCCATGCAAAAAAAAAGGTCCGTAGAGTCCACTTATAGCTTTCATCCTGCTCATTTTGCATAAATCAGGAAGCAATATTAAAAGTTGAGTTTAATGGCGAGTGAGCAATTATATGTAAAATAGGCATCTTATGTCCATTTGTCTTATATGTGCAGTCTAAAGTATACTGAGTGACCCACTTTCCTTTGTGTTTTGAATAGTAATATGGTTTCCTTGGCATTACGATTGTCGTAATAGTTTGTATCTTAGCCATCTATGGGGTATTTCAACCCGCCCCATGATATTCGTTCTTTCTTCAATCAATCAACCTTTCATAGAAGATGGGTTCCGCCTGACCTAGCCTTGTTGCCGTATCGTCCAAGAAGATTACTAGCCCACACTATCTCAGCTTACCCCGATAATTAGTTAACTGCGTTAATTTCGATTAATACTGTGTAATGGCTCTGGCTAACCTACTTTGTGAAACATGCGCTAGAATGGACCTTAATTGCGCTTACGAGTTTCGGCGCCGGATGGATCAACAGAGTCCGACGGGGAGCGGGTTCAATTAAGGTTCGTGTCAGGATGTCGGATACGTGTATCATCTAGTATCGCGGGACGGCCAATTGATGCATGAGATGGATTAACGAGAGTGTGTCTGTGTGTTCCGATCTGTTGAAAATGATCCAGGGGCTATAAACTGCGTATTACATCACAGTTCTTCCGAGAATGACCCGAATTACCATACAATTACTATTGCAATGTGGGTGGATGCTGAATAACCAAGAGCAGTGGAGAATCCACAGTATTTTACCTCTCAGAGTTGACACACCCCCCCAGCATCCGCTCTCATT